TATGGTCCACTGTCCATTGGCAAAACTTGCCATCCCAGACACATCGTAATAGTGCACAATATATCCACAGCCCCTGCTACCTTATAAGGGACTTAAGCCGACCACCACTAGACACTATAAATCACCGTACTCCAACCGATCTCTTTACATCCCCAAAACACATCACACGGTACCATCCTTACATATAAGTGAAAAACAAGTATACATATGCATATAGAGCTCACATCTCCAAAATCAATATAATCATATCAATATAGCTTACTAGTAGTTCACAAAATAAATAACACATATTCCAAGTATAATATATATTCAAAGTACAGTTTACAAAACCCTATTATCATCATGCTAGAAAACATAATATGAAAAACATATGCATAAGTAGGGTATCATCACTCATAGTACAAGAGTTAAACCAAAAAGAAAATTCCGATCACTCTCACTCGACTTACTAGTCTAGGTGTGCCTCCACTGACGTATTTGTAACCAAAACCATCACCATCACCATCACCAAAACTAGTATAAGAAACAGGCTCAGCAGCCCAAAACCGGACTCAAATCCCATCTCGACACCCTGGCACGCATCTCAAGGCACCACTACCCATACTGAGACCCACATGACTCACTAACACAATATTTTTACTCAACAACTCTCAAATAATAGAGAACTAGCTTTCAAAACCCTCAAACCATATTAAACCAGTCTCCAAAACCCTCAAACCGACCTAAATTGGCTACTAGAACCCCTGAATCGGCTTGAACCGGGTCAGTTCAGCAAAAAATACCCAATTTTCGATCGAACCGGACCTCCCCGAACCCCCAGACCCACATGGTCCAATAGATCCCATCCTCCTGAATCTAGAACCGATCTAACTTCTTGAATCCAAGTCAAATGACCACTAAACCAGCCGGTCAAATCCTATTGGCCAGTTTAGTCAACATTTTTTTTTTGTGCTCACTGGCATGGCTTGCTGGCTCGGCCCAGCCCGCTCAACGGCTCAGGCCCACCTAGCCCAAAGCTGGGCTAGACCAACCCAACCTAACCAAGCCCAAACCTTAAAACCCTAAGCCCAACATCGAAACTAGCCCACACACCCAACCAAACTGAGTCGGGCCCAAAACAACTCAGCCCAACTTGCATAGGATCCAAACCCTTCCAGATCCTGTCTTCCTCACCTGAACCTTAACTCAGCTTACCTGCATAAACTCGACAGCCATAAACCTCAAAATTTACACAAAATCAGCTTACCTCAATTGATTAAACACACTAAGATGAAGATTTGGACTAGGTGAAGCAGGTCACACCTTTTAATCGAAGAATAATCTGCCAGAAGATTCAAAATCACCAAGAATCCCACTCGATTCATAGACGAATGGCCAATTGAGAACAACCTTGATTTCTTCCACTCTAACACTTTGATTCTTTTGAAATTGATAGAGGGCTTTGGTTCATCTCTCTAAAATGCACACAAAGGCCTTATTTTCAAGGGAAATCATTACCAATTCCATGTGAAGCATGGCTCAATCAGTCCAGGCACTATTCATCTGAAATTCCATGATCTGTCAAAATCTAATCCCCAAAATTTTCTTTCTTTTCAATTAGCCCCTTCGAATTATGATTAACCCTGGAAATATATATTCCATGCAATTGAGCCCATACCCCTTAATCTAATTAAAATTAAAACTAGTCATTACATGAAATCAACGAATCTCACAATAGGCATATTTCATAGGATAAGGTGGAAAATAATATTCCTTTTCTTTTGATTGGTCGCGTGCAGTTACAAAACGGCCACATAACTACGTTGTTTTCCCTACACTTCCTTTTGGTTTCTTTTATTTTTAATTTTTGTAAAAGACATGTATATTTGATACATCCAAGGCGTAAGTTAGTTAGAAACTTAAATTAGGAAAGAGGACTCGGAGTAACCCATAATTTCAAATAAATTTTGTAAAAATTATATTAATTTGGTTAAATCTTGAGTTCGGCAAAAGATATATATTTGTGTAGACGGTGCCGTGTTTAATAATTTGGAATGGTTATAGACAGTTAGTGGCATATGGAGGATAATTAGGGGTGGAATAAATATTGTTGAGTGGCACAGAAAAAAGAGGATGGAAAATGAGAAATTAGGATAAATGATACTAAAATCAGGGGAGAAATGCATGATAAATTGTGATAGAATAGGACTCATCAATTTATTTTGGGTAAACAAAATCCCATTCTCTTTAAATTTGTTTTAATGATGCTAAATTCTATTTTTATCCTTAAAAAACCCCCTCCTTTCACTCAATTGCACTACTGATTCCCATCCACTAAACTCAAAGGTGCTCCAATAAACATTAGAACTTAAGATTTTAATGACTTCATTATGAAACTTGTTTTATTTGAATGGTTTTTAATAGGTTTTTTTATTATTAAGATTTTATAAAAGATAGTGAGTTAACGTGACCCATTTTAGCAGTTGGAGCGAGCAGTTACATATTTAAAAATGGAAAATCTCTTATACCCACTCTTATATATAATCAGATGAAATGCTGAAAAAAAGGTGTCATTACATTTACACGAAAAACACTAAGAAGCCACTTGAATTTTACATCTAAATTGTGTTACACGTAAATCATCTTTTCTGTAAGTATTTTCAAATCAAATATTCGGTAAAATATTTACTAAAATCTTAATTTGAAATATGTATACTTATGTAAATATGTTCAAAATTCATCTTTCATGTATAATACTCCAGAGAAGTGCAAGATAAGTTAATCGTCAATTTGATATGTGAACATGAAATAAAATCGAAATTTGGTACTCCACGCTGTCCTAATTTAAAGGAAAAAAAGTTCTATTTGCTTTAATCTTTCATAAGACAATTTGAACATTAATTAGGTACCTGAGTTATAGTAAATTAACATTAAACTTATATTAAATTTGAATTATGTCATTCACACACACATTTATATGTAGGCTCTCAAACATGGATTAGTTCTATATATGCTTTATTTTTAGATGGGTATCAAAAGTCAATAATTAGTTTAAAAGTTGAAGGAATTAGAAAGGCTATTTGAATGCTGTTGGTAGACTGGCCACCGTTCGTATATTTAATAATTGGATTTAGGACATGTTTGGCCCTTAACGTGTACTTGGAACGACATAATCAAAGCAAAAATAATATATTATTCAAAGCCAACTCAGATTTTGCAGTTGTGTACCCATTACAAGAAGCTTGTAGCTTTATAAGAAAGAGTAAATATTTTCCTTCCATCTCCCGATCTCATATATCACAAGGTCGGGTATAACTATTGATAGAGACCATCCTCCTAATCTTTCGAAGGAAAAAAGTAAAAAATGCTAATTATTTGACATACAACTGGTTCAGTTTTAAAATTTAGGTCAAAAATGTAAATAAATGATTGGAATAGGGTCAAATTTATTTGACAGATAATCCACGTCAGATTAGTGGAGCATTAGTAGAAATGAAGCATCAATTATCAGTGGTTTTTATATGCACCAATAATCTACTTGTTCAAGTCTATTATGCTCCTAGTCAATCTCGCATTCTCTGCACCAAGGACCCAATCAAATAGATTTTCTCCTCCAACCCACACCACAAAATCAAAAGATTAATTATGGTAAGTTGGAATTTGCTTCAACATCTTCCAGACGAAAATGACCGACGCGTCCATTTTAACTTTCTTCTTGCATTTTGTTTGTTGTCTTTTCAAAGCAAATGCATTTGGCATAACACGGTATGAAATAATTAAATGCCCATACTTGTGTACTACCTATATGAAGTGGGATGATGTAATTACTTTTATTTGCCAATTATTAATTTTTATGATACAAATTATAATTATAATTATAGATATAAGAGAAACTTAAACGAGGTACCTACGAAAAACAATTATAATAACTAGTTCATTTCAACAATATTTTATAAAAAGAAAACCCATATAAGTGGTAAACGCTAACCCAAGAGAGATTTGAAATTGGGATTTGCTACACTAAACCAGTAAGAGTTAAATACAGGTAAAAAATTCGAACATGTTTTGTGTTGAATATTACTTCCTACTTTTAATGGTAACTTTTACATATTATATCAACAACTTGCTACAATTTTGTCAGATAGATTTATGCAATGTTGATAGTTATACTGAATATCTGAACCAATAAAAGTGTATCTCTCTCAATTATTAGTTTTTTCACTCAATTGGTTTAATCTAAATTATATATTAAATTGGGAATTGATTAGTTTATACTACTTTTTATTCTTGTTCTTCTTATGAAGTCATTACAAACAAAAAAAAATAACATAGAAGCATGCTTTGTTGCCACTTTGTCCATGCCAAGTTTCTGAGTTTATTTCTGCAGAGTTGACTTTGTACATGTATATTATTAGTATCCAACAGATAATTGTTAAATATGATTTTCTACTCTTTATAACTTGGGAAATTATAATCATAAAGGAAACCAAACCCATCGTAGATCACCCTATTATTTCAGATTTTCAAACTGATTCCAATCTTTTAAGAGTCCAGATATCCTACAATTTTAGTATATGAACTACTCCAATTATATACCAGATAAATCAATTTATTTCATCTTACGTATTTTTAAAATAAAAAATTAAATAATTAGTAGCAAACCATATAATTAAACCATGAACTAAAAGATTATCTCTCCATCGCTTCCAGTCATAATTTTCCCCTCCATTCTCTTTCTGCCACATGATTTGTTCTTATATGCAAATAAAAGGCCATTAATTAGATAGGGAAAAGATTTTAAGGGAAAAAAAAGCTTAAAAAACCCCCATCTTTCCTTTAGAATTTTATTTCTGGCGACATATTTATACAAGCTTGTGTTGTATTCAATATTTGTCTGTGTGAAAATTCATTGTTCGCGCACAATTTCAATTGCAAGAAAAAATTTGAACTTCCTTAGAATAAATAATTATTCTTCTGAAATACAAAATATGTACTTGATTGAAAAGCTATATAACTAGAAGCTATCTCAAAAATTTCCACGGATTAGAGGTGATCTTCAGGACAAGTCCTGGGAAAACATCATCTGGGTCCTGGACATGAGGGTTCTCCTCCAGGATGAAAGGGTCACCGCACTTATCACTGATGGTGTGGAGGGTTTCCCCTTCTCTGACCACGTAGATTTCCTCGCAGGGCTGGTCCAAGAACTGGTTTCCTCTCACCGCTGGTTCGTCGGAGAAAGTAAAAGAACTGTCTTCGACAGTGGCGAACAAGATGAGGACCACCAGACCAATGATGCAGAACAAAGAGGTTGCTCCAGCTATGGCTGTGGATGCTCGAATCGACTTGTTTCTGGAAGCAGACGCATGAGAGAGAGAGAGAGAGAGAGAGAGAGAGAGAGAAGTGGTTGCTGGCAGGGGTGGGACTACGGAGTTTATACGCAAACGTGGGAAGACTTTTAGGCCCAGTTTGTTGGGTTCAATGACACAGCAAGATGTACAATTTGTACATAGAATGAATTTTTATATGGGCGGCTTTCTTGGGTAGTTGGAAGGATTCTTTTCCTATTATAAAAAAATAAAAAAAACAAAAAGGGTGCTTTTGGCGGGGTTTCTTTATCATGCTAAGTAGTAGTTAGACTTAAAATTTTCAAATTTGTTTTTCATCAAGGAGAAGAACAGAAACGTTGTCAGAGGCAACCTAAACATTTTATGAATAATTTTTTCTATAATTCATCAAAAACCCAAAATAAAATTGTATTCTTTTTCCAAATCAAACGGGCATACGTTGCTTTGGAGGTTATAATTTAAAAATTAAATTCATATTTCAAATCAAATGGGAATATGTTGCTCTTGCTAGGTTATATCTTCAAACAAACATAATGCAAAAGGATACTTTTCAAGGCAATTTGGGCACTGAAAGAGAGAAGAGACATTTCTTCCAGAAAAGTCAACTTGAAGCAATGCGTATACAGAACAGCCTTATATGTAGAATTGATTAAGAAACATATTAAAAGGGTGGCCATTTATTTTGTTGAGTGGAAAACAACATTTGATTAATTATAAATGGGTCATGGAATGATGCTTGCACGCCTTATATAACAAATAATTATTACCCAGAAAAAAAATAAAGAAAATCTTAGTCCCAAACAGAAAATAAGATACTTAAGAAACAGGCTGACGTTAACTTACATGGCAATGATGTCCGAAAATAATGCTGAAGATGACTAAGCAGCTAAAGTGAGAGATAAGTTCCACCTGCTCTGGAGTTTAAGTGTAATAACGCATCCTATCATCTCCACTTACTAAAACCATTATATATTTGCAAATGGATCCTTGCATGATTAGCCAACTACCTCCATATAACTTTTTCCTAATTCTGAATTATTTATGTTTAAGGATAAACCCTAACTTTTCTTGACTAAGAATGAATGGTGGCTTTTTGTTACATTAAAGAGAGATGGTGCTCGGCATCAGATGTCAAACAAGCAAGAAGAACTCATTTGCAGTTTTATCTTTTAATATATATTTTTTTCTTTTTCAAAGTTCATAGCTCCAAAGATATATATTTATATATATATATATATATATATATTGGCGTTGCACGCTTGTTAGATAATCAGTCTGAATCAAAGAAAATAGTGTGAAACCTAACGTTTGAACTTAGGATTCAAATGACAGTGCAAGGCTTTGCTATCTTGTGGGTTTTTTCTGTTCAGCCTATGTGGTCCCTTTGTGTCAAAGGCTTGGAGAGAAAGAAAACGATTGTGCAATACTTGGGTGGCTTCTCCCTTTCCACTTTCTACGTTAAAAATGAAATAACTTTTGACCAAAATAAGAAAGAAAAGAAATTATTACTTTTGGTCCCATTGTATTATATGATGGGTAATTTAGATTCCTTCCTAGAAAAAGAGAATTTTTTAATTTAATTGATGAACTTAGATTTTAATTTATTGTAGAAAATATTCAAACCATGCATAATAAAAAAATAAGTAAATGATTTAAGTTTATTGAAATATGAACACCCTAAATCTCTTCTTTCCCCCACATTAATTAAATGGCAGATCCAATGCAATAAATAACTAAAACTAAGAAGCGGGTACCACTTATAGAGGTATATTATAGGAAGGGGCTGTGGCCTCTTAAGTTGAAAAATTTTTATTATTGTAATATAATTATTATATAAAATAAAATTTACTCTAAAAAATATTTATATTTTTGCCCTCCTTTATAATTAAATTTTAAATCCGTCGGGGTGAGTATAAGAATGATTTATTCGGACAAGGCAAGGAAGGAAGTTTTAAAAGCTTCTAGGGTAAACTAAACTAAAGAATTATTAGTTCTGAATATTTATGAATGCTAATATTATTTTCGTAACTCAAATACACGAGTGAGGACCATAATAGCAAGGACCTCAGCGATAAGTCTGCTTGGGAATGCTAAAAAAGGGATAGTTGTGAAGAGAACCAGTCCACCTTCTTCTTCCACGTTTGGAGAAGACATGCATGTACCTAGAGCTTCCACGTTTGGACAAGACATGCATGTACCTAGAGGTATCAATAAATTGAATTTTAATCCTAATTTGATTTAAATTTTATTTTAATCTGAATTTTATAATTTAAATGTGATTAAAATATTTGATGAATTAGATCCGATCATAAATATACATAATTCTAAATAAGTGAATTGAATATAAAATTAAGTAATAAGATTTGTTCAAGATCTAAATCTAAATTTCAAATATATTTTTTTATTAAAATTAATAATTTTATATATTTTGTAAATGCTAAATTTGAAAATCAAAAAAATTGAAGAACCAATATAATTGATAGAATAAAGTTGAAAGACTTAGATGTAAAAGAGTATTATTTTCTTATTAGATTGGATTTCCTTATCAAACTTTGAATTATCCATCAGGTTTAATAGACATAGATTCTATAACATTTCAAATCAAATTTAAATATATAAATAGGTAATTGGATTCAAATTCAAATTTATTTGATTTGATTAAATTCAACACGTTTACAATCTTACATGTACTATCACCTTTTGATCTTTCTCTTAATTTATTTGTCTACTCCTTCGGTAGGCAAACCAAGCCAAAAAGGTGTGAGAAAACACAAAAATAAAAAATAAAAAATAAAAAATAAAAAATAAAATTATGTTTGATATTACAACTTTTTAAGTTACTATGTATTAGGTGAGAAATTTCATCAAGTGAAATAAAGTATTATTTATTTTGTATTATGTTAATTTATAAAATTAATATTAAATTTACTTAATTAAAACAATATTGAGGAAAAAAATTTATATTCGCATCCAATAAGAATTTTCTATTAATTTTGTAATTACTTATAAAAAGTCTGTATAAATCTCTTAGCATTATCTAAGCTTATTGTTCCACATTATATGACTTGTATTTTATTACTGCAAATTCTATCAGAAAAGCAGCACAAATCATTGCTGAAGATTATCATCCATTATATTTGAAAATGCTAAAATCAACTCGTAACATAGGCATCGAAAGTGAAAGATGAAGAGTCATGCCTACATCTTAATGCTTATGTTTGCTTCGTGCTAGTGAACGTATTGCAACTAATAAATTGGCTTAGACTATACTATTTTTTTAAATAGTCTAATTTAAGTATATATGAAATATACTTTTATGTATAATAGTCATTTTCATCATATGTTTTGTTTATATAAATGGATGAAATCCATATATCACATATAGCTACAAGACTAAGTCTCACATAGGATGACAATCAAAAAGCTAATCTCTATGGTTGTAATCTAAAAGCTATTTAAAGTCGAAGAATCCATCAAGATGGAGCATCAAACAAGATCTAGTTAGACTCACATAACGCACTCATCAAATTAGTGCATCTCATTTTATAAATGTTGGTATATCATTACTAATGTTTATGTTGTAGTGCTTGTTAGAGTACAAGTTCACTAAACTCCATTAACTTAAAAAATTCTATCAGAGTTGATGATAGATATTCTTTAAGTTTACCATAATATAGCATATAGTCATTTGACTTAAAATTCTATGGTAGCCTTACATATGAAGGCTTATATTTTAATATATTTCTTATGACCTTATCTATCATGGAAGGTTACAAACAAATTTATATTAAATATAAGTTGTATACACGTAGAGGTTGGTGAGAATTAAGACAAGTTCTATTACGCATCTCAAGCATATGAGGATCTCTGATGTTATTTGGAGATTATTGGTTTTAAGTTCTTGCAAAGTAAATGACAAGTAATTAGAGAAATAGTTTCTTAAATTGATCATCCCACTCACAAACTCAATTAGAGGCATATCTATTAGGATTGAAAGAATGCTAACAGTGCTAGGCCCTAACATTATGAGAAATTACTCGATTTATGACAAAAAATTATTGGCAAATGTAAAAACGATAGATTTTTTATGGTTTTTTCATTGTCCATTAGATAATCCACCAGAAAAGAAGGAAATTCATTAGAAAAATGTTTTCGATGAATTTTTCGACAGAGCAATTTGTCGTAAAATGAATATTAATTTTTTTTAATGTTAAAAGATTTCCGATAGACAAATATCTATCAAAAACTTATTTTAAAATTATTTTGGAAACTTTCCAATGAAAAATGTCTGTTAGAAAAGCTGAAATATTTTTAAACATTTAAAATTAATATTTTTGACAAAAGATTCCACATAAAATGTATTTCGGAAAATCTAAAATTTTTAAATATTTCAAATTAATATTTTTGATGGAGATTTTTGACAAAAAATATTTGATGAAAAATATCCATCAAAAAGGCTAAAATTTTTGAAATATTTCAAATTAATATTTTGACATAAAGTTTTATTGAAAAATCCATTGGAAAAGTTAAAATGTTTTTAAATATTCAAAAGTAATATTTCCAACAAAAATTATCTGTCGAAAAAACTACAATTTTTTTAGATACTTACAATTAATATTTTTGATGAAAAATATCCATTGGAATTTTTTAAAAAATATTTAAAATTAATATTTTTGGTAAAAAATTTCTGTCAAAAATCTAAAATTGATAATTTTTCAAAAAACTATAAATGCTTCCCAGGAATAAGCTGTAAGTGAAATAAAAAATAATTTAAAATTAATATTATTTTCAGCAAAATATTTTTGTTGAAAAATAGAATATAAAATATATTTTTAATAAATATATATTTTTGACAAAAAATTTTCATAGAAAAATAAAATATATATGAAATTTTTAATTAATATATATTTCTCTCTGAAAAATCTATGGGAAATAAGTTTTTCATTTTATTCGCATTCATTTGAAATTTATATTTACTTTGCATAAAGTTTTTAAAATTTTAAAATTTATAATATAAATTAACCCCAATCGAATTTCTTATTGTTAGACCAAATTATTGCAAAGTCCTAGTCTATTGGGCCTTGTTTGGGTCAATGCCCAAGCCCACATTATTTTATTAAATTGAAACTTTAATTATAATAAATAATTCCATAAATCGGAATGTTTGTAATTTTATTATATAATAATGTATAATTCTAAAAATTTATGACAATAATTAGTAATTAATAATAATAAAATTGTAATAATTAATGAACAAATCATACTTTAAAACTTTCTCATAAAATAATTATAATTATATAAATTGATTATACTTATTTGAATTTAAGAATAACAAGTTATTAATAACTAATGAAAAAATGTAACTTATAAATTTATCATATATAACTAATATTGTTATTTTTTTAATTTCATTTATCTAAAATTTAATTTTATTTTCTATTATTTGTTTTGAAATTTGAATTTGATATTATAACAAAAATCCAAACCCACAATAGGATTAATATAGTTGAACCAAGGTTACCAAAAGCTAAGCATACTTCCCTCTTGTTAGACTAAAATTTTGCAAAACTCAAATTCATTGAGTTGTGGTTGGCCTGAAGCCTTACAAAAGCAAGCCCACTTGATTTTTTATTAAATTAGGCTTCTAAATTATAACTGATAATTCAACAAATCATATTTATAAGATTTAAAATAACAATAAATTGTGCAAATAGAAAATCATAACTTAATGTACAAAATAAATAATAATGTACGATTTTATTGTATACTAATTTATAATGTCAAAATTAATTATAATAAATAAGAATTAATAAAAATAATTTTATAATAATTAATGAAAAAAATTATAACTTAAATAATAACCCATAATTCTAGAAATTGATTATACTACTTACAAATTAATAATAATATTATTATAATAATTAATGAATAAATCATAGTTATAAGTTAGAATATCCATTAGTTGTTACCCTATTATTATTACTAATTTCTAACAAGTATAACCAATTTGTTG